GCATAGTCGATTAGCTTAATCGACTATTGAACATGTACATAGTCGATTAAGATTCCAGCTTGCGCGAATTTCTCAACACGCGCCGTCATCCGCCCAATTCACCAAAAAACCCTAAATTTGCCTCGCCATTGTCACCACACCGCCGCCACACCAGACTATTCAACCAATCCCTAACAAGAATAAAATAAATAAAATAAATAATTAATACGAAAAAACACAAATTAGCATTTCCATGTCCAAAAAAAAAAAAACAGAAACGATTCAAGGTATTGACAACCCACTGCGTCCTCAACGACGACCGCCAGTCATCAGCTTCAACATCGTCGGTGGAAACCACCGCCCCCAACTACAGATCCATCACCACCCTTCACGCTGCAGCGGGAGGCGGTGACAAACACTCTTCCACCATCACCACCGTCGGTCAACGTCTTGCTTTTACTTCGAATTTCAGTCGATAAGAGAAGATGAGAAAAGGAGAAGACAGAACGGCAAATGAAATATGGGTTAGGGTTTTGAAACGTGAAAATGAGATTTTATATTAATAAGAGTGGTTTGGGAATTATTAAAATAGCATTTAGGTAGGTTATTAGCTAAGGGGGTTTTCTCTAATTATTTTTGGGAGGGGGTGTTTCCTAAACTCGTTTTCCTAGATGAGGGAGTTCTTGCTAATTATCCCCTTCTTTCTTTTAATAACGAGAGGCCCAAAATATTTTGCTCCATTTGAGAAAAATCCACACCCATTTTCACCCATTATGTTTTACAGCTTTGTCCTTGCCCGCCACATCATCACTGCATCACGCGCTAGTCATTACCGATTTTTTTCCTTTTTTTTTTCTTTTTTGTATCAGTTTTAATCGACTATGAAGCATAGTCGATTAAGGAAATTCTTTAATTTTTTTATTCTTTTTTCTATATCAAGTATATTAATCGACTATGATGAAGCATAGTCGATTAAGAATCTCCTGCTAAAATAAAAAATCACAACTGCAAAATAAATGCAAAATCAACTATATTTGACAAAAACAAAAAATATACAAACATTATAATGATTTATACAATTGGAATCAATAAAAAAATAAAAAAAAATTAAAAATTGGAGTCGATCAAGCTTAATCGACTACCAGAGCATAGTCGATTAGCTTAATCGAATATTGAAAATGTACATTGTCGATTAAGATTCCGTTTGCGCGAATTTCTCTACACGCGCCGTTCTCCACCCACCAAAAAACCCTAAATCTGCCTCCCTATCGTCACCACAGTGCCGCACCACACTATTCAATCAATCCCTAACAAGAATAAAAGAAATAATTCATACAAAAAAAACGCAAATTATAGCATTTCAATGTCCACAAAATAAAACATGAATGATTCAAAGAGATTTGTCAACCATTGTTGGTCACTCCATAAACAAGTTCTGAGCACATGACAAACCAGTACTAAAAAAAGTAATAAAAGTAAAAAAACAAAAACATAAAAAAAAAAAAAAAATACATTCATCAACAATTTCCATTGATTCTCCTCCTCCGACGACTGCTGCTTTTTTTTTTCCTCAACAGCTTGTTCCTCTTCTTTTTAGAGAGGGATTTTCTCTAATTATTTTTTAGATAGAGTGTTTCCTTAACTATATTTCCTAGATGGGGGGTTCTCTCTAATTTCCTAGATGGGGGGTTCTCTCTAATTTTCCCCATAAACAATAGAGGTAACAAATTAAGGGGGTTGACGTAGCAAGGAGGGGTTGCAGTGTTGTTGTTTTTTGATCGCAGTGGTTGGGGTGTGCAGTTTTGGTTTCATGATACCAATTTGTGG